TTATAATTATCATTACCAACTCATATTATGACTTATTATTTTTATTCCAGATGTTGAAAGCTTTTAATTTTTCACTTTCAGGAAATATTTTACAGTTTCTTTTTGTTGTGTCTGAAAATACAGCATCAATCAATTCTCATATTTTAGAATCAATTTGATGTGCAATAAAGTTTATTTTTAACATCACCACTAAAATGATGTGAGAGTAGATATGATGACTGATACAGCTGTTAAATGATGAAGTTGTACAGTATTGGCAAAGTCAGAGCCTGTTAGCACAGAGGACAGTGAGTTTATCATGTTGTTTAGAAAAACACTCAATTTATAACACTGTGATACAACAAAAAGATCTTCCACCATGAGCAAGTAGTCTTCATTCCAGAGATGCAGAGATGGTTTAACATATAAAAATCTGTCAATGTAATCAACCATATAAACAAGCTGAAAAAGGAAAACAACATGATCATTTCATTAGATGCTTAAAAAGCATTTGACAAAATTCAACACCCCCTTATGATAAGGGGTATTAGAGATTTCAGAAATAAAAGGATACACCTAATCATAATAAAGGCAATACAGAACAAGTTGATAACCGACATCAAATTAGGTGTAGAGAAAATCTAAGCAATTCCACTAAAATCAGGGGCAAGAGAAGGCTATCCACTCTCTCAATATCTATTAATATAGTACTCAAATTTCTAGCTAGAGAATATAATAAGAGAAGAAAAGGATGCACCCCTCGCGGTCCTGAGTTCCTTGCTCGTGCTCTCTCTCCTTCTGCTCCTGATTTGGACCTTGGGGTTTCAGTCCGGTGCCCCAATGTGGGACTCTGTCTCTGTCTCCTTTCATTGCCTGATGAAGGTTAATATACAGGAGAATGACTATTTGTTTTTCTTTGGGTTCACCTTCTTATTTAGCTTCTCTAGCACTCACACACTGAGACAATGGGGATGTTCTATCGGGAACTCACCAAGGCCAGCTGGACTGGGTCTGAAAAAACATGGGACAAAACCGGACTCGCTGAACATAGTGGACAATGAGGACTACNAACTCACAGAGATCCGCCTGCATCTGTGGCACTGGGTTTTGATCCTACTGCACGTACTGGCTTTGTGGGAACCTGGGCTGTTTGGATGCTCACCTTACTAGACCTGGAAAGAGGTGGGAGGTCCTTGGACTTCCCATAGGGCAGGGAACCCTGACTGCTCTTCGGGCTGAGGAGGGAGGGGGGCTTGATTGGGAGAGGGGGAGGGAAATGGGAGGCGGGGGCAGGGAGGAGGCAGAAATCTTTAATAAATAAATAAATTTTAAAAAAGAGAGAAGAAAAGGAGATCAAGGGGATATGCATTGGAAAGGAAAAGGTCAAAGAATCACCATTTGCAGATGATATGATAGCAAACTTAGGCAGGTACAAAAATTCTATCAAGGAACACTTAACAGCTGAAACACACTTTCAGGAAAGTGGCTGTATGTAAGATTAACTCAAAAAAGTAGCCTCCTTCTATACTAATGATAAATGGACTGAAAGACAAATCAGGGAAACAACATCTTTCACAAAATCCACAAATAATATAAAATACTTTGTCGTAACTCTCACCAAGCAAGTAGAGGACCTATATAACAAGAACTTCAAGTCTTTGAAGAAAGAAGTTGGAAAGGATATCAGAAGATGGAAAGATCTCCCATGCTCATGGATTGGTAGGATGAACATAGTAAAATGGCCATCTTACCAAAAGCAATCTACAGATTCAATGTAATCCTCATCAAAATTCCAACATAATTCTTTACTGATCTTGAAAGAACAATACTCAACTTCATAAAATCCTATGCAATAAAAGAACTTCTGAAGGTATCACCATATCATATCATTGAGCTATAGCAATATGAACCAAATGGTATTGCTATAAAACACAGATAGGTTGATCAATGCAATCAAAGTGAAGACCCAGGTGTTAATCCAGTCACCTATGTACACATGATTTTTGACAAAGAAGACAAATTATACAATGGGAAAAAAGCATCTTCAACAAATTGTGCTGGTCTAACTGGAAGCCAGTATGTAGAAGAATGCAAATACAAACTTCACTTGTATCTCAGTCACCGTTCTATTGCTGTGAAGAGACACACAAATCTAGGCAACTCTTATAAAAGGAATCATTTAATTGGTGGCTTGCTTATAGTTTCAAAAGCTTATCATCATGGTGGGAGCATTGTAGCACTCAAGAGTATGGAGACACAGTCAAGATTTATACTCTGGTCCTCAGGTAGAACAAGAACCTGGTTGTTATTGGAGACTGCTCATTTATTCCCAGGCTGCTAAGAATCCTGAAACAATTACATAGAAACTGTATTAATCACTGCTTGACCTATTAGTACTAGCTTCTTATTGGCTATTTGTTACACTTTAAATTAACCCATTTCTATTATTTTATATTTTTACCATGAGGCTCATGGCCTATCAGCAAGGTTCTGGCTGGTGGCTCGCATCTTTCTCCTCTGGTGGCTACGTGGCATCTCTCTGACTCCACCTACTCTATCCTCCTCTATCTGCTTGGAGCTCCTGCCCTGCCTTATTCTGCTAAGCCACTGGCTGAAACCGCTTTATTCATTAGCCAATAAAAACAACACATAGACAGAAGGACTTCCCACACCACCTGGCGATGGCTTGGACTTTTGAAACTTCAAAGCCTACCCCTAGTGACACTTTCTCCAACAAGGCCACACCTCCTAATATTTCTAACTCTATCAAACTGTTTCACTCCTTAGTGACTAAACATTCAATTATATGATCCTATGGGGGCCATTCTTACTGAACCACCACAACTTGCTAAACAAAACAGGATGACTTAAAGAAATATCTGAAACAAAGGGACATTGCCTGTAATAACCTGCTAATGACCACTCACACTTCTCTAAATTCTTGCCTGCTTTCCTGCCTTACCTTGTGGTTTTAGAGTCTGAGAATACAAATTGAGCCTGGGGTTGAAGCCTTTCAGGAGCTATTCTGGATTCAGGCTACCAGTGACATCTCCTTTCTTCTATTCTCTTTGTTGTCAGAGTGTTCATTTCAAAAAGATTCTCACAACACTGGGATACAATTTAATATTTTATGATACTAAACATGACTCTTCACAATAACAGCCATGGGCAAAGAGTCTTACGAGTTAAATTTCTGACTCCACTTGTAGGTTTGTGTAACATCCTTATTTTTGAACAAGGTAATTTTGTCTCTGAAGTTTCTAGGAAATGTAGATATCTTGAAATCAATGTCTTGAAATAAAAATTTCAAAAGTGCTGGTGATAATAGTTTAACAACAAATTCCTATAATTTCCATATGATTTGTTACATTAAAATCTCATTTGGCTGGAAAAATAGCTCAAAGTCATAGCAAATCTTTGCCTAGTATAATTACGACCTAGTTCCAATCCCCACAATCACAAAAATAACAAAAGAAAACTACTAGCTTATTTTTATTTTTTTAAAGAGATAAGAACTTTAAACATCTCTAGATTAAATGTCCTTGGAGCCAATGTCCATATTTTTTTATTTATGCAAACATTCATTATAGTTAATTTCCGTCAACAACCTGATTAAAGAATTACTCAATGATGTATACCTTGGGTGTGTCTATGAGAGATGCAGATGAGAAGAGAAGAGCTACCCCATATGTGGATGGCACTATTCTATATGCTGCAGAGTCATGGGCTGAATAAAAAGAAAAAAAGAAAGAAAGAAAAAGCCAGTTGAGTGCTGACATGTTCACTTTCTGCTTCTTGATTTGCCTAGATGTGAGTAAATTCCTCCATCCACAGCTGTGAGCTGCTCCTGCCACTTTCTCATGAATTGTGCCTCCCTAAACACAATGGACAGTGTCTGTCGAAAATGAGCCCATACAAACTTTTTACCCCTCAGTTGCTTCTTGCAGGCTGAGGAGACAATTTACCTTGCAGTGACAAAGACATGAGATTGAAGCCCAGAACCCGTAGTCATCAAGTGTAGTGGTCTATGCTGGTAATCTCAGAGCTGATATAGATGACTTGCTCACCAGCTGAGTCTACTAGGAAAGTTACAGGCCAATAAGAAACCTTGATGCTCCCACAAAAAGTGGGTAGCATATAAGGATGCTGAGTTTATCCCCTGATATTTGTATGCACACAATTATGTGTACTCACATTTGTACATACATACATATATACATAAGTGTGTATGTATAAATATACACACACAAGATAAAAATGCTTATTAGAAATTTAGTAACAGTAACAAAAATAATTAACTTATTATTTTGCTGCTTTGTTCCTATAAGAAAATACAGAGTATTACCAATATTAAAATAATAAGAATTCTCTGGGTGATGGTAGCACTCTGGAGGCAAAGGCAGGCAGATCTTTGTGAGTTCGAAGCAAGTCTGGTCTACAGGAAGTAGTTTCAGGACAGGCTCCAAACTACAGAGAAATTCTGTCTTGAAAAACCACAACCAAAAGCAACAACAACAATAAACATAAGAATCCATCATGTTTTAATGTTTTTCTTTTCTATTGATTTGTCTTGTCATATATCCCACACAAGTTTTGAACTTGAGATATTTTGATTTATCATCCTGAGTTTGAAAATTAGAGGTGTATACCTCATCATCTTAGGAGCTCAGTAATTCATATTTAGATTTTTAGGTTAGTTAAAACATATTATAGATTTGATGATATGGGTTATATATAAGAAACAGAACCAAATCTTATGAGTTTAACACACAAAACATTGATGTTTGATACTCTAGGCCTGTTGTGGGTGAAAGTTAGTCTTCAGGCAAATACTGTTCATTTAGAGAATCAACAAATCTAGCCTGCATGTTTCTATCATCTTCTAACAGTGTATAGAACATAAATGTATTACTTTTTTCAAAAACACTGATTAAGAAGATACCATAGAAGTAGATAAGATGTGATTATGATTCTTATTTTTTATCATCAGCTACAAGGATTTGCATAATCATATCTTTCCTTTTTTAGAAAACAAAATAAAACAAAAAACTGTAACATCAAGGCTACACAAGGCAATCCATAGAGGAAAAAAGCCCAAGATCAAGCACAAGAATCAGATGTCCACTCATTTACAGACTCAGCAGTCCCATAAAAATACTATGCTATGCTAGCATATGAGTCAACCGGAAAGTTTATTTCTGGAAGAAACCCACCAGCAGCACACAGGCTCCCCTGTCCTCTACCTGTGGAAATTTCTCCATGTTACAACCATTTCCTGTTTTTTCTGCATTGTAGAAATTTAGCTCAATGAGAAGTTTGTAAATTCAAAGAGGTTAGCACTTTCAGGTACCAATTCTCCTGAGTAATGCACACCAACAGAGCACGGAAGTACGAAATGTATTCATGTCTTACTTGCTTCTGAAGACTGACATTGGAAAGATCCATTTCCAGTCAGATATGTGCTTTAAAGGGTGTACCTGCCACAGGACAAAGAATCAAAATGAGAGTTTTGTCTCCTGTCCTGTTTTGTAAATATCTCTTTGTTTTCCAAATTGGCTTAAAGCATCAAGTATATTTAGGAATATAGTCATGTTTTCTTCAAAATTAAGAATATATCTTTTGTCTGTCCTAGATCAAACAAATAAATAAAGAAAAATAAAAATCAAACAGAAAATAAAAGACATTTGGAAATGAAGTACAATAAGACTTTATGTAACCATGCAGGGTTTTTTTAGTGATAAGTGGCTAGAATGAAAATAAATACTATATGTGCATATGTATATGTGTGTACATATGTACACTTACATATACTTTTTAAGAAGCTGGGAGTGGTAAAATAGAATGTTTACTACATTTTGAATCCAGAATGGACTATTGAGTGGTATTTTCTCAAAAAGGGGGGGGCAGGATTATACAGAGAAAATAACATTTTAGAAATTATGAGATTTTTATTGTATCTGTTTTCACATAGTAAAGCCCAAAGTCAAAATAGAGGCAATGTTTTTGAATTCTTCACAATGAAAATTACAAATATGGTAATTAATTACCATATTTCACAATGAAAATGAAATAACTTAATCCCTTTCCAGTTTGAATTATAGACTACATCAGAAAAGAATTTCCAAAACGTTATTATATACCGCCATTCCCCTTTAAAGCTTCATACCATTTCATTCTATTTTCTTTTCCTAGAATCGCTTCCCCTATGGTCCCTTAGTAATTCCCTGGCTTTTGTGGGTATTGCAAATGGAGCACACATATCTGAAGATTCAAGGCTAACATCCACAAATGAGAAAAGACAATGGGAGGGAAGTATGGATGAGGGACTATAGGCAGGCATGGCTAACACTAAAGATATTTTGAAAAATATCTTCATGTGGAAACCTACTGTTGAAGCTTCTTAAAATTATACAAATATACTTATAAAAATAGTTTAAATGGAGTTTTTCTATAACAGGGCAACAACATCTTCTCTGTGGGGTCCCTTTTTTCCTTATGGTCCATTGGCCACCAGCCCACAAAGACGAAGTCGTACAGGTAGCTTTGAATGATCCTGTGAACATGAAGAAATAGCCTTCCAGGAGACATCTTCATTGAGGCAGCTCAGCTTTATTCCAGATTATAGGGGATATATAGGTTTGGGGATGATAGTTGGGAAATCACCTAGTTTGCATTAAGTAGTATGCTCCTATCATATACCTTGGTTAGTAGCAGCATGGCCCTATCAAAATAGCTAGAGCATATTACCTAATTACCATATTGGCAGCAGAGGAAGAGCGCTTGAAGGGAACTGTGTCAAAGTTGGTTAGAGAGCAGAAAGCCCTCTGCCAGAGGAAAGCACTCCTCCATGTTGCCAAGCTCAGAGGGAGCTGTCAAGTCATGGTAGATTGCACCCTCTGACCAACAGGGCCTTCTAACACTTTTAGATACTAGAACCTAGCAAATAATAAACTCAGTAACAGAAGCATGCCACTTCTTTTGGAGTTGTTGGCAAGTGATGTCCCATAGACCATCAAATATTAACAATTATTGCCAATGTTCTTGGTTATTCCCAAGAACTTGACAGTAAGGCCCTATTGCTGAAGGCATCACATACTTGAGTCACAGAAAATAAAGTCAGAGAAATCAAGTCGGTACTCACCTTGAAGATTCATCCCTAGTTGCTAGCTTTCATAGTACCAGAATGTGTTATGCTAGCTACCAAAGGAGAAAAAACAATCATCAGTCTTATCCAGTTGTAAATCCTGTGAGATAAGTCAATAACTCATTTGTGAGGCATGTTTATTTGTGCAATCATGTCACAAATTTTATAGGAGTAATCAAGGAATATCTAGCAACATTATTGATGTCAAGAACCCATGGATAGATATGTCTTAGATCTTAGGGGGAAACCTACTACTATTACTATGGTAGCTGGACACCATAATAAGCATATAATATTATACACATAAATATGGGAATTTGTCAATTTAATTAGAGAAACTCTTTTTTTTTTCTGTAGATGATGACACAGAGACCTGGAACTGACCAAAGTGCAGAGGAGAAAAGACTATGGAATACTTAGTTCTAAATGGAATATCTGTATCACACTCTTCTTTCCCAAGGCTTGGTGATCACTGCAAAAGAAAAGCCGAAAGATTCTAAGAGCCATAGGCAGTGGGTGACTAAGAAAATGATGTTTTATCAACATAGTAGAGTATATATGGAGACTGCTCATTCATTTCCTTGCCACCCAGACCTGACTAATAACATAGAAACTATATTAATTACAACACTATTTGGCCAATAGCATAGGTATATTTCTAGCTACCTCTTACATCTTAAATTAAACCATTTCTTTTAATCTGTGTATTTCCACAAGGCTGTGGCCCACCGCAAGGTGCTGGCTGGCAGCTGGCATCCTTCACCTTCGAGCAGCTACATGGCATCTCTCTGACTTTACCTACTTTCTCTCTATATCTCTGTTCATATTTCCTGCCTGGCTTTATTCTACAAAGCCATTTGCTGAAACAGCTTCTTTAATAACCAATGGTAATAAAACATATTCATAGCATACAGAGAAGAAACCCACATCATATTTCTTTTTCTATATAAATAAGAAAGTTTTAACTGTAACATAGAAAAATTACATATAACAAAAGTGGTATCAAGTAAGAATTACAGTTACAATATATTTACTTTATCTTTTATCATAACTAAGGAAAACTATAATCATAACTATTTATTATTGAACTCCATCAAAGAACCCAGAAGAATATAAAATTATGTAAGTTAACACAAAGTATATTGTAAGCAACTTCTAAAACTCTAGAATTGACAGAGACATCTCACTGTCTGGACAGTCATCCAAAGTTCTTCTGTAAGATTGGGGCATTCATCTTCAGCCTATAGGCCCATAGTACTCAGTAGACTTTTCCATGGTGCAGGAAATTTGAAAGACTATTTTACCTTTATTGTCAGTTTGTCAGTCACTTTCTTCAGTATCCTGCAAAATGTCTGGTAGACTCTTTCATGAAACAGGAACCCTGAAAGACTGTCTCACCATTAGGTAAGTTCAGTAGTCATTTTTCTTTGGGTACTACATGTCTAGTTCATTAAGCAGTCCAGGCAAGAGCAGTTTCTTGTCCAAATGGTTAACCAACTCTATAAGGAGCCTCTTTGATGCCTATCATCCTCTTGAAGTAGATTGATGCTGCCAGGAGCAGGTGTGTCTCATTGTTGAGAAAAGTTTAAGTTCTTAAAAAATTTAAATGTCATATTCTGCAAGTCTTTGAAAGGTTTAAAGAATACCTATCCATCTGAAATATATCTCTGTACATCTAGAAAACCTAACTAACATTACTATAAGCTTGACTATCTATTAACCTATATTTCTTAATTATACATTTTATATATTTCTTAATTATACATTTTAAATGAGCTTCACAAGCACAATACCTTATTAAGAGCAGAAATATATAAAAATAAAATTGACTGCAAATTTGTATCAATAAACCAAGATCCATACCAATGCAAAGTATTCATCTCTTTAGCATATCTCCATTTACATGTAAACAAATATTTATAAACAATCATTTAGGGAATTTAGGCATTGTTGTCTGGACTACTTGCTGATTGGGGGTGTTATTAATCAGGTCTTCCATGGGGTATATTGTATGGTAGGTCCATCTCAGCCAGCAGTCCTGAAGCTGGATGTTGAACCATCTGGGCCATTGCTTCAGGGGGTCTTGTTTGATCAAATCATATTAGTCAGTAAGAATTCCACAGTTTTCTATCCTTTGTGGAAACAAAAGCAGAACCTCTTTTCCAAAGCAACATATCCTTGGACCCAAATTTTGAAGTCAAGGTACCTTTAAAATGTATATGTTGGGTTAGCTTAGCAGCCCATACAATGAAATATCTCAGTACTTAGCTCATTCACAGTCAAAAAATTCAAAGAAAACACAATAATATACATAATTCAGATTCTCTGTGTATTTTCCATCTTTCTGTGGCTTATTTTTCTTTAATCTTTTAATCTATGACTATCTGTACTCTGTCTTTTTGAAGACTTCATTTTATTTTTTAAAAATATTTATTTATAACTATACTCTTTTTCTTCTCTCTCAAGCATATGTACATTTTTAAGCACACTGTTATCCGTTTAGAGGTTTATTTCTGTCTTAATCTCTATTGTGTATCAGTAATCATTTTCTCACCAGAAGCACTTGGGTAAGCAGTGTGGTCAGGGTAGCCCTGGAAGCTGGTTCCACCTCTCTAGACCTAACATGGCAGAGATAGTTCACCACCAGTTTTATGACCACTGGGAGGGAATCGTGCTTACCACCTCATCTCTGGGAAATAGTTGGCCCATGCTCCACCAAGTAACTTGGAGCATACTGCCCACAAACTCCATACAAGTGTTCAGCCTCCTGAAACAGCCAGAGCTATTCATGCAATTAGCACAAACCAGGAAGCCTTCTCAAAGCAACCATGCAGTTTTTGTTGCTACTGTTGAGTCAGGAAGCCTTCTCCTAAAGGAACTGTACTGCACCTCTACTTACTTCTAGCAAATGACAATTCTGAAAAAAAAAAAAATAGTAGGGCCACTAAGAAGTCGTCCTTAATTCTGTTTTTTTTTGTTTGTTTTGTTTTTTTTTTTTTTGTGTGTGTGTGTCTAGAATTCCTTCCCAAGCACTCTCAGGATTTATGTGAATGTAGTTGCCTCACGTTGGTGCACCATTTTGTAGACAGAGACTACTCATTCGTTTCCTGGTTTCTCAGACATGAATAACAACACAGAAACTATATCAATTACAAAACTGTTTGACCAATAGCCTAAGCATATTTCTAGCTAACTCTTACATCTTAAATTAACTAATTTCTATTAATTTGTGTATTGCCATGAGGTTGTGGCCTACCAGCAAGGTGCTGGCTGGTGGCTGGCATCTTTTTCCTTCAGAAGCTACATGGCATCTCTCTGACTCTGCCTACTTTCTCTCTATATCTCTGTTCAGATTTCCCACCTGGCTTTACTCTTCTAAGCCATTGGCTGAAACATCTTCTTTAATAACCAATGGTAATAAAATATATTCATAGCTTACAAAGGGGAATCCCACATTAGTAGAGCAGCTGTATGTGTGAATTAGCAGGAGTAAAAACAACATGCACAAGACCTGCACAGGTTCAGGGAAGACAGAATATTAGCACTGAGAAGGAAAATGGTATGAAGTCCCACACATAGATAAGAGTCTATTAGTAAATAGCTGGTAACTGCTAGAAGAAAGATAGTTTTCTTTAAGCATTCTCTGGTGGATTGACCACCCTCCAGTGAAAGCCACACATCCAAAAAATGTATGATCAGTACCAATGGAATGTTTTTAAAAGAGAACACAATGTGGGCTGGGTAGGCAAGGGGAGCAGATCTGGGAGGAGCTGGGAGAGGAGGTGAAATTCCTTGTATGAAATTCTCACAAACTGATAAAAAGATGAGGAAAAATTAATTACCTAATCCACTGAGCCTAATGGTCCTCTTCTACCATACATTTCAACCATGATGTATTATGGTACTACAGATCCATGAGGAACAGGGCCAGTGGACCATAGACTGACCATTCTAAAGCTCTCAAGTTAGTATGAACTTTCCCCCCACATAAATGGATTGCCTAATTATTTTTCTGGAACAAAATATTGAGACATCATAAATTGTTAAAAAGTTTTCTCATTTAGCTCTCTTATTGTACATGCAGAATATGTACAGTTCAGTCTTAAGTAGTATTCTGAAAATGCAGAAATCATTAATTCAAAAGTCATAGTAATATTGCAATGTCAAATGTGAATGGCTATTTCCTGTAAGTAATACTTCTGAGTTACAAAATGGTACATTTTAAATTATTTGGTTAGGACATTTTGGCTTTCTTGTGTATGCTTGAAATAGAGAGAAGTTACACCTTGTAAAAATGAGGTATAAAAATCCAGAGCCAATATGATCCTAAACAGAGAGAAATGAATTTATTTCCACAAAAATCATCAGGATGTCCTTTTTATCCATACTTATTAAGTATATAACTCAAAGTCTTGGCAAGAGTAAAAAGGCATTTGCAGGAGATAAAAGGTATACAAATAGGGAAAGAGGAAGTTACAGTGTCTTTATTTGCAGATAATGTAACTTTATATGAAAAGGCCCTAAAGACACCACCAAGAAGCTTCTACAGCTGATATAACTTTAAGCAAAGTAACAGTATAAAAGTTTAACATATCCAAATTAGTAGCCTTCATGTATACAAATGACACTCTTCCTGAGAAGGAATTCAGAAAAACAGTACTTTTCACAATAGTCTAAAAGTTAAAATTATCTCTAGATAATGCTAGCCAAGTAAGTGAAAGACTTTAATAACAAAAACTTCAAGATATTGAAGAAGATATCAGATGGACAGGAATTTCATGCTCATGAATTAGTAGGACTAAGATTGTGAAAACAGCCATTCTACCAAAAGCAATCTATAGATTCAGTTCAGTTCTGTATTGTGGGAGTAACTGACTATATCTTCACTCTCACATGTGGTTTCTAGCAGCAAATTTTTAGATTTGAGTACATAACTTGGAGTAACGGAAGAAACCACGATAGTAGATGGATACCATGGAGGGTAATAGAGATGGGATAGCTGTGTACAGTGTTTTTGAATGGTTAAATGGAAAACAATGTGGAGGAACTTTAAGTAGAAAGGTGGGCAATAAATATAAAAGAAGGAAGGATTAGGATACATTCCTCTTCCTCAAGGATTCACCACAGCTACCATAGCACTATAATCTTAAGTGTATGATACTGGCATGTATACCTTGGTAGTAACCAAAGGTGCAATCAACAAGATGGAAATCATTACTGGTACTAGAAATCTAGTCAACTACCCAAGGATAGTTGTAATCATGGATCTTGGAAGAGAACCTACAATTGCTACTTTACTAAACTATCATAATACTTAACAATCCCGAAGCTCAAGATTTTACTCTCAGCCATCCCTTTATAGTTCATATGCCTTCTAACATAGGAACTATTCTAATTTCTGAAGGGAAATCTCTGGCTAACTAATACCAGACTTCTTAAACATTGGACCTCATGTTGGAAGTACCCAAAATCGCCCTCAAGATCTGTTAAAACCTAAACTCAGCCACCTATTTACCAAAAGAGAAAGGAAATCTTATCCACTCTTGGGAGGATATCCTGATGGATAGCTATATAGTTCACCCTGCTCTCTCATATCAACCATTAGAAACCCCCGCCTTAGTCCTCTATACACATGGAAGCTCTTTCGTAAAAGAAGGAATATGGAATGCAGGATATGCAACAGTCACTGACTTTGAGGTACTCAAGACTATTCCTAGAAACTTGAAGTCGTAAGTCACAAACAATCCCACACCATTTTGGTATTATGATTAATAGAATGATTATTTATTTAAAGGGGAAAAACTTACAGATCACCGTCCCAGACAACAGCCCTCTGCATGATCAGGAAAGGAGTCTAGGAGCCAGAAGCAAGAAGCAAGAGAGTTAGCACACAGCTGCTGCTGTTTTTTAAAAGCAAATCATACCACGCCCAAGTGGGCTGGTATCTTAAAGTCTATTGGTTGAAGGAGCTGAAGCAGCTCCTGCAGCAGAAACTCAAGGACAGATTAGCTGAGGTGACACTCACTCACTGGAGCTCTAGAATTGTCCCATAGACACAGAGTCAATAATTACACAGACTCTATGTCTTCTCCATCCTTTATGCTCATGCCACTGTCTTGAAAGGACATTAGAAGTCCTCCTAACTGCTGCTGGGATCTGTGTAAAATATTATCAAGACATTCTAAGGCTCCTGGATGCAGTCCTTTTACTCACCCAAGTGTCTTTGGTCCACTTTCTGGGTATCAGGGAGAGAATGACCTGGTGACAAGGGGAAATAGGATGAGAACTCTGAGGCCAAGAGATATGCATTGGGACACCTTGAATATCCCATCCTCTGTAAAGAGCTCCTGCTGCCTTTAGAAACATCCAAGTATTACTCTGAGGAGATGACCTTTGCCCTTAAAACAGGGTGTTGTCTAGAACCCTACTTTCTGCCCAGGGATGGTGGATAACATCCAAGGGCCAACTATTGTTGGCAAAGGCCCTACAATTGAAAAATCTTAAAGTCTTTATATCATATGTATATCATATGTATCACGTGGAACAAGAAAACACACTTATTTGGGCAAAGAAAATGTTTACAGGACAAGACTTAAGAGAAGCAGTTTAGTAGGTAGTATAAGGTGCGAAATGTATAAAAAAGAAAGCTTTTAAACAGACTCCTGCAGTCCCCATGTACATAGAGACAAAGCACTTACCCTGAGGAAGAGTGGCAACTGGGATCCACTCCATCAGTACTAGAGGGATCTGGTGCAATACCTTGCTGGTCATACAGTTACAGTTTACTTCACTAAACAAAGTTTATGTTAATCATGATGTTGAGGAACTTTTTCCACTAATCTTGCCTCTTAATGTTTCCCTGAGGTATATAATAAAGAAAACTCAAAGACTGACTTGTAAATTTAAAATGGTTGATGGCAGGCTTCTTGAACTTCTTAACTAGCCAAATGGCCTCCTCCAAGGTGTACACATCTTTCAGTAGGTAATGGTGGCAGAGAAATCTTCATTGTCATTGTTACCTATGACACATTCTGCTAAGAATTCTTGGGACGATTTTCTTGCTTGTTCTCTTCCCCTCATAAGGGCAAAACTGTCCCAGCTATTTTTCTAACTGTGCTCTCAGTAGGAATTATAGTACTACAAAGTCTCCCTTTTTGTATGTTACAGATGGTGTCCCACTCCTATGGCAAGTTCCAAATATACACATCATCACCAAATGGCTGTCTTATACTCTGGATCCTAACCATCAGTTAAGTTTTATCCTGGTCCCTTAGATAGATTCTCCTCTGAGTCACTCTGACTGCTGCCCCCACGTTGTCAACCCTTTGTCAGTTCAAAGCAGCTAAGCAATCATTGCCTCCCAAACTGTTAGGCACAGCTAGGGTGATCTCTGAGAGATGGTAATGAGACCAGAGTTTAGACAGCCTTTGTGGTAGGCAGAATGATAGGCATAGAGGCCTTGACTAGATTGTAAACATGACAAATTTCCAAATTGGCCAGTTTATTCCTCATTAACTTGAGACATAAGTCTGGAAGATTTTTGTCTCCCACCAGTAAGCCCCCTGTTGATGGACTGTCAACAAGTTCCGGGCATGTCACACTACAGTTGTGAACCAATCAACCAGCCTACTTGTCTTCAAACTGATCAACCTCCAAAGTAAGGAAGTCTTAAAAATACCCAGCCCTCGAGAAAAGACTGGATTTTGGCTTTCCAAGCCTCTCAGTTTTTTCAAAAGGTCTTTTTCTTTGTACATCCCTATTTCCTCACCTCTCAATAACTATCTTCCCGTAACTGCTGATTGTGGTGCATGAGATTTCTGTTGTCACTTGGGTATTCTGTTAACAAGGGGTAGATCTGTGATAGGTAAATTTCTCATCCTGGTAGGTCTCAGCCTGAGTACAAAGAAGGGAACTGACAGCCAGCATTCATCATTCTGCTTCCTCACAGCGGTTGCAATATGATCAGCTGTCCCAAGCTTCCATCACCATGTCTTCATTGCCATGATTTACTGTATCATCCCTCCATGAGCAAGTAAAATTACCCCCTGACCGCTACCTTGTTTTTACATTGTTTTCTTCTGGTGTTTTGTTGTAGGAACAAGACGAGTAACCATTGTCATCCATTTCTCTAAACTCTAAATGGCTAAAGAGATGAAGCACTAACCCCTGTAACCCACATTTGCTAAATTTTAATTCACTTTGGTTCAATCTCCAGTTGTTGACTGGTCTCGTAGAAAGAGACTTCTCTCTTGTATGGAAAAGTTCCCTTCAATCCCTCCAACCTAAAGAGGGATTTTTCTTCAAAGATTTACCCACACTGATTTAGTTTTTAGTTTTTAGTTATCAGTACTCACTGAGTTTGGGGCTCAGAATGGGAGGTAAGCAAACGTTACACCCCGGTTGCATCCTAAAGGGCACTGGGCCCTCCTGTTTTTATTATGTGGCACTTCCTGAGTTAGGAGGCATCCGGGGAAGCTTTATACTAGGAGGTGCCAGGGCGAGGGTAGCAGCAAACTGCCTAACACTTTCAAGCCCGCAGCCCAGCAAGCAGACACACCCGCCGCCGGAAGTTCCCAGCCTCAGAGCAGGAAGGGCTCTTCGGCGCACGCGCCCCGGTGACTAGCGGGCCGGAAACTGGACGCCCGAGCCCGAAGGCCGGGCGGGGGCTCGGGCTAAGCGCAGCCTCTGGCGGTGGCCGAGCGTGTCTACGGTGGGCGAGAAGTTTCGCAGCCTGTGAGAGCGAGGAGGGCGGCCGGGAGGAGGATGCGGCTTGGCCGGGGCGCCCGCTGCAGGAGCTCGCCGCCGCCACAGCCTCGGCCCCCGGCGAGGGTCCGCCCGCCGCCCCGCGTGTCCGGGTAAGTGCTGCTGCCGCTGCCCGATCCCGGGCCGGCTCCGCTCGCCGCGCCAGCCGCCGCCGCTGCGGCCGGTGCCCTCCGGCCCTGTCCCCGGGGCCCTCCCTCTGGCGCTTCTGCTTCCTCGGGACGTCCCTGGCCCTCCCGGAGCCCGCTGCTGTGCCCCAGGTCCCCCTTTGCTTGCGTCTAACTCCCTCCTCACCTGCATCCTTGCCCTTCCTTCCCAAAGCAAGCGGGTGCACCCCTCTGTCGTCTTCCCCTGTCCCCCTCATCTATAGCAGGGGTACTGAAAACTGTCGTCCCTGTTAGCTCATTTTAGGGCGTCTTTTCAGTTCTCCAGACCACAGGAGTGTGCGTCTCCAACCACACGCTTGTCCCTAACTGCTCTTATTTACCAGGACGTGACAGGCTAATCCCGTGATTCAGGGTCTAAGTTTTAAATATCGACAGTTTGTCTTCCCCTTTTTTTGATTTTGCTGCTGTTTTCTTCCTAATTCTTTCTCTTCTTAAGTATATTGTATGTTTGTGTGCTAACTCAAGGGAAAGGGATGTTAGAATTTTCGCCCTCGAAGAAATTAAAGGTCCTTGTAGAAATAAAAGTCGTCTCCTCTGTTTCGACGACTGATTACTATGGTTAAGCTGTCTGCCCATTCTTCCCACGTTTCTGACATTTCATCTAGATCTGAATAATTCCGGGCTTAGTTTGCCCCGTTAGGAGGCTTTTCTTACTTTCTTCTGCAATTGGAACCCACTGTTTATTGTGCTGGAAACTGAAGCGGTAAAAGGCTTATAACTCCGAAAATCACCCCGCCCCCCGGATAATAAGAGTGGCAGAATATTTTAGATTATTCCATCATTCTTAAGAGAAGTGTTGCCTCTTGGTTATGCTCTTAGAGAGTGTAGTTGAATTGCCAAACTCCCTGCCCCTGTTCTGGGTTAGAGAAAAGCATTTAACTCCTTAGTATAAAGGAGATGGTGATAAAACTCTTCGGTGGTAGTAGTGCTTGCGGAAGTTACTGCACCTAACGTACTTGGAAGTGCCTGGGAAATGGTACTTGTATCATCACTTCTTAGCCCCACTTGATGGGATTGTTGCTAAGGTGATGGTAGGAAAAGAAGGTAAGAATTGATTGAGAGTTGCCCCATGTGGTGGTGTAGTACGCCTTTATTTCCAGCACCCAGGGAGGCAGAGGCAGGTGGATCTCTGTGAGTTCAAGGCCAGCCTGGTCTAGAGCATGAGTTCCAGAACAGCCGCAGCAGCTACACAGAGAATCCCTGTCTCGAAAAACAAACAAAAAAAGAGAGTTGCTTAATTGTTTTACTTAAGATTTTTGATGTGTGTATGATTTGTACTGCATTATTATGTGGATTAATATTTCTTTAAAAACTCATGGTTTTAACATTACATTTCCTGTTTTTGCATAGGAAAATTGGGGTGCCTGTTTGGAATGTGTAAAATTTTAGTGTTTCAAGAACAAATGAAGTGACCTACCAGATTTTTCATAATGGGAGAATTACATGATGACTTTAGTGCTACAAGTTAAACACTCAGAGCAGGGTTGGTAGTCTTTCATGACTTTGCTTGCGGTAAAGCTCTGCCTTCATCTAGAAGAATGGCAGCTCTTGTCATTGCACCTGTTCCATGCATTCATGTTCCCGGACTTTTGCCTGACTACTAAAATTTACTCACCTTGAAGTTGTGGCATTTTTTTTCTGTATTTGTTTACCTTCTGTGAACTATCATGTAAGATATTTTTGATTCACTTCATTATTCTAAGTAATAAAAATTTGAACTATTTGCCCTTTTAATTACACAAAAATATATATGAACTTGTATTAGTTTCTTTTGTGTTTCTGGGATCAAATGCCATCACCAAAAGCAACATAATGAATTTATTTTAGTGTATAGTCTGAGGGAGAGGCCACACTGGTGGGGAAGGCATCATTGGAGGCAGTGTGAGCAAGAAGGCAAGATAATGCATATCTACCTCACA